CCCCTAATATAAATTCAAGCCATTTTGAGATGTCATGTGAGATATGTTCAATCCGCAGCAGTCATTAAGCCGTTGCTAAATTATGATAAAAATCAAAAATTACATTAAAAATAAAAGTCATGTCTATTCATATTATTTTATCTTCTAAATTTAATCGGCTTATGCTGTGCGTGTTAAGCAATAATCTATTCTCCGATACTGATTCTGTTAACTGTGTTCTTATCGACGATAACAATAATTATATAAATGTAACCGCTTGATAGATTTTGAAGTCATAGTTGCTTGAAGCTCTAAATATAGACAATATAAATATAAATACTTAAAATGGTGGAAACGCAATTTATTGGTGATGTTAGTGATTTATCTAATGAACAAAAAAACATTATTCTTAAGGTTCTTGAAGAACGCGGATTTAAAAACGTAAAAATTGATATACAACCTGTAGGTCAAATAGGCGATAACTTTGTAGCTAATGTGAAAAGAATTACCGTGGAGAAGGATGGTGAAACCTTTAAGATGATTGCTAAAGTCGCTCCAAGGAGTCATATGCAGCGCGTTATTGGGAACTCGCGTCTTTCATTCCTAAACGAGGATATTATGTACACCCAAGTGTTAGCAAAATTTAGTGAATTAGAAAAAGCTGCAGATATTCCAGAGAAAGAAAGATTTAGATATGCAGCTTGCTACGAGACATACATGGAAGAACCAAATGAAATTATTCTACTTGAAGATTTACAAGTATCTGGGTACAAAATCCTAGATAAATCAAAGTCATTGACAGATGAAAATGTGAGATTGGTTCTTAAGAATTTCGCTGTTTTACATTCTTTGTCATATGTTTTGAGGTATAAAGAACCTGAGACATTTGAAAAGTTTTGTAAAAGTCTTATCAATTTTTGGTCAGTAATGGCCAACGCTCCTGAAATCATTAATTGGTTTACCCAGATAGACGCTGATGTTCAAATGTTATTAGATGACGATAAATACAAGAAAGCAGTAAAAAATGCGGTAACTAAAATGCTTAATCAAATTGTGAAATTGTCTGCATTGGACATTAACTCGAAACACTCCGTCATCCAACAAGGAGACCCTTGGACAAATAATATCATGTTCAGACTTGAGGTAAGAATATAATGCATGTATAATATATAAAGTAATATGTAACACAATACAGTAAACAGTAGTACAAGTTATATTTATTCGCAATTAACATTGTGTCACATATAGTATAAAAATGATAATATAAGATCAGGAATCATTCGCTTCCATAATACGTTGATAGTTCTCGGTAGTTATTTGACAGTACTAAATATTTATTTTAGATTTTAACTTTGTGAGTGTGGTTAATATTAACGTGACCGGCGTAGTGTAACGCTAAAACTGCAGGTTAGGTGTGTTACCTTTCTGTGTCTATCACTACGCTTTTGTTGCTGCAATAAAATTATGCCTTTATACCATTTGTAAGTAAAAAACTACCCAAAAGATGAACAGTCAACATTCAGTAAGAATCGCGCACAAATAGATGCAAGTGTAAAATATCAAGGAGGAGAAGGAGATTAGAGAAATGGCTTGTGTCCGAAGATCGGCGCACCAAAGACTGAGGTAGACAGAATAGCTCTTATCAAGGAGCTACAGGCAGAAAAATGCCTCAGTAGCATTTTCAAAGGAAATTAAAAGATTAGCGGAGAAAAAAATAATTATTAATTAAATATTATAAGAGTTACGTCTGTTCCCTTACGATATTTCATGAGGGTATTATATTTACTTTATTACCGACAATTTTTATTCTTATTTTAGAACGATAGAAGCGTGGACTGCTGTATGATCGACTACCAAATTTCCAAGCAGAGTAATCCTGTCGCCGACTTACATTACATGATCTTTAATTGCACCGACTACGCTACGAGAGCGAAACATTTCCACGATTGGATCGATTATTATTACTCACAATTGGATAAAAGCTTGGCCAACTTTGGACTAAAGGCCAATTACGTTTATCCTAGAGATCAAATCGATGCAGACTTAAGAAGATTCGCTAAGGTCTCACTTGGCCAAGGTGTTATGTTAAGTACAATGCTGGTCAGAGATAACACACAAGCTGCCGATGTAAAAAAAGCAATGAGTTCAGTAGATGGCAATTCGAGTGCAGAGGATATCACCAATGCAACCGGACAAATGCAATTATCAACTACAAATTCTGAAACAATTGAGAAATTTAAAGTTAAATTGCACGGACTTGTTGATAGTTTTATTGAATTTGGGTATTTGTAATTACTTCAGTTTACTTTAAAATACTTTAAAATAGTTAAATTTACGTGTTCAGATGAATGAAAATGAAAGACGTTATTATTTATTTCTTTATAAGTTTTATGTTATAATTCAGAATTGTTTATTTCTATTTTTACTATGCTAAATACTGATTTTTTTATTCTACCAGATATCTACTTACATTTTGTTTTTAGATCAAGAGTTCAGCTCTCTGTATCATTGATCTAGGGAGAACAATATATTCAGCTAGTAAACTGTATGTCATAATTCTTACCAATTTTCAAATACATAAAACCTTTGCCTTATATTTCATTTAAGACTTTTGTCTAAGCAACATGAACATTAACTGCTTGCTTAAAGATTTATTTACTGAATCATGCAATCATGCTGATGGTTACAGTTCTTTGAGTGTGTTCTATATTAGCGAAGTTTGATCCTGTTTGGGATGTTATAGTTCATTAGTTTAAGTACTTAACTAAATGTAAACAATCTTGGGATGTCTATTTAATTAAATATATACATTTATAAATTGATTTTTACTTACCTTCAAATACAAAATACAAATACTTAGTTACATATGAAATTGCATGACTATTTTTATACCTATTGATTTGTAAAGCATATGTTACAATAAAAAGATGTATCAAGTTTGTTTACATTTAGTTAAGTACCTAAACAAATGGACTATAACTAATCGAAAATTAATAACATTCTGTATACACGGTCTGAAATGAAAATGCAGGTTCGTGAAAAATCCACCTCTATAGTATATATCAATGAAGTCCTAGACTTGTGAAATAATAGATTGTTGTATTATTTATTTATTCAGATGAAACTGAAATGTATGGACAGAAGACAATATTTTTGTAAGTATATCTCATACAAACGTAATAAAAAAATAAGAATATTCAGTATCGAACTGTTTACAGCCAGTGCGATTACAATATAATATTTTAACTTTGATAAGGTACATCTACCATATTTTAAAGAATATGAAACTACAAAATTCTTTACGGGCCCACCGTGTGGTCACGGACGCTCCTATTAACTCTAACGGTGAGACCTAAAGAGTCGTTCCAATGAATTTATCTAATAGTGTAACCCTACAACCTAACCTTTTTTTTACTGGGGGAAATCTTTATAGATACCCCTGACTCCAAGGAGACTCGGGGTTTATGTGGGGACTCTCCCTCCAGACTGGAGGGCCTACTCCACTAAAACCCCCCCGGGTTTACCTCCCGCCGGTTGAGTAACCGCCGCCGTGGGGTCGGTGCACATTCACCACGACGCCGCCCGGCCGCCCTAGCTTGCGCCAAGGCTTCTGCGCCAACGGAGGGGCAGGTCAGTTGTCCTCTGGCCCGCCCCCCAGACGAGTGAGGCCGTCCAATGCAGGCTCCGGAGTCCCTGTCCAGGGCCCGCTGGCATCACTAGGGGATCAGGCGAGCAGCGAACTGCCTTCGCCTTCTCCCCGTACGTCTGCGCCGAAGCGTGTGCGCATCCGCCGCGTCTTTGTGCACTCGCTCCGCAGCCTCCTTTTGCGACATAACCTCTCCGCAAAAGGAGATCACCGTCTCCCAGTCATGGACGCTCCAACTAATTTGCAAATTGGACTTGCCTTGCAATATTGGATTATCTGTAACATAGGTCTAGTTATCTACGCTAGTTAGTAGGCATTCCAGTCTCTCGCTTAAGTAGCTAACTTTTAGCCTCATTTATATGATATTTCATATATTAAGCCTGTATTTTATAAGATTTTTGTTTTTGTGATAGTGAATAAATATTTTTATTATTATTATTGTTATATACACTTTAATTTCGACATACATATATACCGAGGGATGCGAGGAAAACCCCAATAAGTATGTGAATTTTTGTGAAATGATTATTTCAATTACTTTCATTTATTAACCAAAATAACGGATAACTCGCATATTTCAGTTGAATTGTTTGTTTGTTTTGAACCAATAGTCTCAACTCAATCGTGAGATTCATGGTTCGAAACTTTTATATAACTTTTTTCGTTATTTTAGTTAATTTGTTCGAGTATCACGGTGGTTTTCTATTTAAAATTACTTTCGTTTACTTCTCAATGCTATGGAATTCCGAGTTTGTACACTCATAAATTTGTTCATTGGATTGCACTATAAAAATGAGCATGAAAGTACACTATAATGTGTGAGAATAACTCATTTTGCGAAAATTCACGATCTTATTGAGTTTTCCTAGGACCTATCGATAAGATGTATTCCCAAAAATTTTTATTTTTTTATTCAACTTTATCACCCTAACATGCTATGATTTGAGATTAAGTTAATAATTTACATCTCATAACTAAGATATGCTGATGGCATTCGTAATACGGGATTATAGTAAATAAACCCGAAAACCTTCAAAATAGATTTTCTACGACCTCTCTATGCCTTTGGAAACCCAGTGTCGCAGGGTGCCATGGACACACACACATAGACAACAAATAACTCCTAAACTCGCGAAAGAAATAAATGTAGGCCATACACATACTTCTCCCGGCCAGGGAATCGAACCCAGGACCTCTGCGTGGCAGTCATGGCATGGCAGTAAATATTATATATACCTGTGCCTGCACTATCAATGTTCATTACGTCATTGAACAGGACGCTTTTTATGCTATTCGTTTTGGTTGTGAATTATATCATTCATTGAGAAGGACGATCGTTGTACTCGAATTAAGATCAATGATCAAAAGAAACGCCTCAACGCGCATGATTCTGTCATCGCGTCAGTTCGGGCCTTGCCTTAGTCATATTTCCTTGTCCATTCGTTTTTATATGCAAATCAGTGATAATTTCTGTAGAGATATATTACGCTGTGCAATCATACTCTGAATTCGTAAAATAGATTTAATTAATTAAAATTTTTACTAAAACAAATTCGAACTTTCGGTCCGAACTAATTGAAGGTTTGTGGAAACACGAATCAGTTTAATCTAAGTTGTTTATATTAACTGATCAATGACGTAAATTTCCGCCAAAACATACTCGTTGCCATTGACGTATTGTATAGAAGTATACAGGGCGTCACACGGCTATGCCACGCGGTGGGAAACCTCCTTAATTGTAACTAACTTAAGGTTTTAAAGCTCTGAAAGGCACTGCAACTGTTATGGACAGACGTATAGCTTACCATCAGGTGCACGACTTTTTCAGCCCGTTACTTGATATTATAAAAAACTAACGTGCTAATTGGTAGTAATAAACTGTTTTTTTTAACGTTATTATATCTTAAGAAGATAAAAACTCACCTAGCAATTGATTGCGCAGTTTCCGATTATACTTCGTTGTGAACGCTGTCACAGTAGAAGTAACGTTGTACTTTAATTATTAAAATTCGAATAAAATACTCAAAAATATTCGAATTTATGAAAAGTAGTTAGGTAACTTGTAATCATTTACAATCATAAAAACTCCATCTGTTATTGTTTTGAAAAATAAACAGGAATCCTAATTTGTGATCGGGGCACAATCACAGAAAATCTGAAACTCTTCGTCAAAATGGTTGAGTTTATTTTCGAAGGTGAAGTGAGTGCGCTTTGTGAGATACAACAAGAATTTGTTAAGAATGTTTTAAAAGAACTTGGTATTAATGACGGGAAAGTTGAAATAGAGACAGTTGGAAAACCAGGTGATAACTACGCCGCTAATGTGAAAAGAATTGTGACTAAGAAAGAAGACAAAGTATTCAAAATGATTGCCAAAATAGCTCCCACTCAGGAACAAATTCGACAGAACCTTAACACAGCAGTTTGTTTTTTAAATGAGAATAACATGTACTGTGAAGTGCTGCCAAAATTTACTCAATTGGAAAATAATGCTAACATTGCAATTAAAGAAAGACTCAAATATGCAAAATTTTACGGAAGTTATATGGAAGAACCGCATGAAATCATTCTCCTAGAAGATTTGACAGTATCGGATTACATCGTCCTTGATAGATTTACTTCGTTAAAAGATGACAGTATTAAACTCGTTCTTAATAACTTTGCAAAATTACATGCTGCATCATACGCTTTAAAGAATTTCGAACCAGAAACTTTTGAATGTTTTTCTAAAAAACTATTTAACATATGGGAGCTATTTGCTAATGTGCCGAGTATGAACCAGACTTTGAAAGACATTGTTACCGGCGTAGTAAATTTAATGGATGAAGAGAAATATTTAAAAATAGTAAATGAAATTATGAGCGACACTTTCAAAGAAGCTGTAGCTATGTCCAAATCTGATAGAGGCAACAATTTTTCTATAATCAATCAAGGCGATCCTTGGACGAACAACATTTTATTCAAATTGGAGGTGAGTACATTATTTTCGATAGAGCATCATCAAATTCACGACACAAAAGTCCTCAGGGAGTCATTTGTTATGTGTACCTAAATTACAATTCAGACATAGTGACAATTGGGGCAACGCGATGTAACAGACACGCGATAAGGAGTTGGTAGTCCAAAAGTGTTATCTTTAGAGGCTATATAGCCAATTGTCATTAAATAAACACTATTAAATAATGAGCGTTTTTTGAAAATTTTAGTTCGAATTCCCAATCTTTAAAGTATTGTTGATATTGGCATGAATGCTATTGCAATTTTTAAATGGAATTTTAATCATTTTAATAATTTTATTGACCAAAAATCGTAAAACAACTTTTAAATAGTGTCAAATTTGACTTTAATGCAATTAATGAAAATGTACGAATACAAGATACGTTCCAATTATGTTATCAAATTACAAACTCTCTTATTAATTTCAATGATAATGACTAGACATGACATGAAATGTAATTTTGTCGTCGAAAATTTACTTATTCAAGTATATGAATATTTATATATATATGTATATTTATATATATATTTAATTTATTAAATATAAACTTAAAAAACGAATAAAAATAAATTTTTAGATAACAATAAAAGATACTACTTCTATAATTTAGACGTTATTCTATTATAATCTAATTTACAAAATTTTTTAAATTGTAAAATAGGAATGAACGTAAGAGATTAACAGAAACACATTTATTCTAACTTTCAGCCTCATGAAATTCGATGAAACAGTTTCTATTTGGCACAAAACACAGACATATCTCAGATTTTTTTTACAGTTTTTCTTATTACAACCAATTTTTTACAGCATGACTGTATTAAACTGCCTTTAATTCCCTTATAGTCAATCCGAGAGAACTTCTATTGTCAAAATTTGTGTTCTATTTGTACAGTCAACAAAAATACTATCGTCATCGATATACCTACTGCTGGTAGAGCGTATACTATGCCCATTCCGTAGTATCTATCGGTAAAAAGGCGGGTTGTAAACACTAAATACTGGCTCAAACTTGTGTTTCGACGAATTATCTTGCTTATCATTAGCGTTCTGGCAACTGAGGACCTGTGATCGGAGTAAAGATTGTGTCCTCTCGATCGCGACGGTAATGATGATGAACTGGTGAATACTTCCGAATTATCGGAAAACACTAAAGAAGACACAATAGCGTCCGATATATAGCGCTATTATTATAATAGTGTTGTAACTCAAAATATGTGAAATACAAGATTATAGTATTAGTGAACATACAATTTGATTCTCTACATGCCAATGAAACCTTTGTAAGAATATTGTAAGAAACAATTAAAAGATGTCTACTTAACTCAAAATGAGATAAATTTTTTTTTATCTAGTTCTGGAAAACACAGTCCTACTCAAAAATAGGAAATTATTATTTCCCTTTTATTTTTAAACATATTTGGCAAGTATAACAAATTGTTTACGTGTCTGTAATAAACTTTAACCTATACATGTTATGTTCTAAATCTTTCACACGAAGAGAATAATTAGTTTTTCATCGACTCTAAAAGAATATCCTTTTTGAGTTAATACACTATTATATTTACAATGCGATATGCGCTTCGTCGTTTCAATTGCTATCCAACTCAAAAATGTTAGTTTGGTTGCGATTCGGTGGCCTATATTCAAGATCGTCATCGGAAACTTCACCATAAAACAATGTTGTAGTCATTGAACGTTTCTAGTATTTCATTATCTAATCTGTCAAATCATAATCTATCATAACTTAAGAAAAAAATATATATTTTGAAATATATATTCTTTCAAATATTTGAAAGATTTAGTTTATGTACTCTGTAAAGAACATGTGTAGGCATACTTACTTAGTCGTGGTGAATGTTCACCGATCCCACGGCGCCAACTCAACCGGCGAGAGGGAAACCCGGGGGGGTTTTAGTGGGGTAGGCCCTCCAGTCTGGAGGGAGAGTCCCCACATAATCCCTGAGTCTCCCTGGGCTCAGGGGTATCCATAAAAATTTCTCCCGTCAAAAAAAAAAAGGCATACTTACTTAACATCAACTACCTAGATTTGTTCTTTGCAAAGTACATAAAGTTTGTTAGGTTATTTTTAGCAATGTTTATTTTTTTTCTCTGTCAAATCGAAAATATCTATCTACACAATTAATTTATTAATTAAGTCATTTAGAAAAAGATATTGCTTATTTTATTGAATTTTGAAATGATGTAGACTGACTAACTTAGCTTCGCACAGACGCATTCTTGCTCGTGCACATCACATGCTATTTAAAAAAAAATACAGATGATACAAGACCTTTGTCTATTGTTTTGACAACTTAGAAAGCATATAAATGGTATTTAAAAAATAGTAAGCTTGCCACCATTAGTTACGTCACGAGAATTTTTGCATTTCTATGTACTCCTCGGAGTACAAATGTAGGTAGGAGGTTAATACAGTGAATATACAAAGTGGTTAGAAGTTAAAGCGAAAAATACTATGAAAATCTCTCAGAAGTGTTCAGTGTACTCAGAAATTAACAAGTAAAGTCGTCGTATTACAATCATAACTGTAGTCTAAACAAAAGCTACTTAAGTGCTCTTATCGCCCATGTTATTCTTTTTATGGTAGCTTAATAGGTTCTTGAGTTTCAAGTGTTTATACTATACGTATCTTATCGCCGCCCGTAATGCAAACAATAAAAAAAGCTTAGACTATTTTTTTTCTATCTAAGGTACCATCTGATTAGAAAAGTGACAGGTATCAAATGTCACGCGCGCCGTCGATGAAGTGGTTAACAATCCATGGCAACAACGCAATTTTTAAAATAAATTTTAATCCATTTATTAGGGTAGGCAAAGGTTGAACCATACAGCCTCTTCATATATTTAGACGAAAGCCAAACAAACGCTTCAAAACAAAAACCAAAGAAATAGAATAGAAGGCGCGTGTTCTAACTTTAACATAATGGATGGAAAAAAGATTTTTTTAAATCATTTTATTTTAATAAGGATTTATGGCCCAGTTTCCAGACCTTTATGACAACTTAACCAATCAGAAGGCAGTATCGCGTAATCCTAATTGATATTACAATTACTTTATTTTTTCCATCCTCTAAGTATTTTAGAGCAAACATACGACGTCCTTTTTTAGAAACTAATTATAGCTCGTGTGTAGAACGAAATTTTTCAGCTCAGAGGCGAGTACTATAGACAATACAATTTTGATTCAGAACTAAAAAGAGCGCCTTTATGACGAGAAAAGTTAAATATCCATACAAGGGCACTTTTGAATGGGTAACAAGAAATTTTTTTTCTAAAATCAACTGCGAAAATTGTAAAAAAAAGTTTAATTACACAAAATGTAAATTCGACACACGCATTTTTCAAATTAAAAGAATATAAATTACTAAAGCAGATAAAGTTATCCTACTCAACATAAAATGCAGTGAAAGTTTCGGAGAAATAGTACAGACTACGAACGAATATTTGGAAGCTAATGGATATCTAAAGATAATTAATGAGAAAAACAAACAAAAAAGGTTTCCATATATTCGTTCTATTTTCTGTACTGTAAAAAGCACAAAGAAATAGTCCTTGATTGATTTTTAATTATTTGTATAAAATTGTTCATTTTAACTGGTGCAATGTAATTAATTATATTTCGAAATGGACTGATATTGCTCGGCTCGAAAAGTTGATTATACCGGCAAAGCAAAATTGAATAAACTTAAGTTAAAAAAATAAAAAATTGTACAAATATTTTCATTGTTTTATTTTATATGCGTACCTAAATTTCAAGGTGAAAAATAAATGCCGTGGATATAATTTCGGCAGTACTCCTTGATGTGGCAAAATAAACGTAATCGTTGCCCACAAATTGAAAGCAAATTGTATATGTAGTAATGTGTCAGCTAGCCAGCCAGAGACAATAATTAACGTTTAAAAAGAAAACTCATCATTCTGCCATGCCATTCTCGTTCAACTTTGTTTAAGTCATGATACGAATTTAAGCAATTCAGTTTTACCCATAACATAGTTATACCACGTCAAGTGTCAACATTACAACATTAGTATAATGTTGTAATGTTATAATACAACATTAGTATAATGTTGTAATGTTGACACTACAACATTAGTATAATGTTGTAATGTAATATATTAAGCAATATATATTGGAAATGAACTCTTGTCTTCTGCAGTTGCTATGCCCTTTCAGGGCATCACATGTTAACTGCCCGACACTGTAACATTTTTAATTGCTAGCAATTAGCAATGTATATGACACGCAATAAATGAATAAATAAATAAATAGATAGATAAATGGCAATTCACTTTACAGGTATTATTGTAACATTTAAAGGGCAAGCTTTATTCAAACGTGTCTTTGGCTATATATCGTGTTTCATAATTATCACCTTGAACTAACGGGATTCAAATTACTTATAATGGTTGAAAATCATTACTTAATACACGTTATGTTTAAATGTATCCATAATTGGCACGTTGTATTTGTATTTTACGACACTTGTCGAAGATATCCAATTAGCTGGATTTGACAATGTACTAATTAGTCAGTTGTATGTTATTGAGACGTACACAACAATGTTACGTGTACATTTTGATGGCGTATGGCACTAAAATAATGTAGCTCTTATCAAATGTCAGGTATAAATATGTAATCAAATATCAACTACCCATTTCTTATTTTATTTTTTTTATTTTGTATGTTTTTAACAATCTTCAAAGTTAAATAACACTTCGAGAAAAAATTTAACAAAAAATTAACTCCATTGATCGAACAAAATTAAAACAACACAGTTCAAGCCCAAATTAAAGTCAATAAAAAAGAATAATAAAATAGGTGACCAATTAAAAAGTTAACAGCCTGATAAAAAAAATTAATAAACTCGTGAAGCAATTTTTGCTCAAAAATGTTTTTACTCGTTGGAAGAATATTTTAGTGATCGTTTCTCCTATATCATTAAATTAAAAGATTAATAATTGGCTACGTAGGTTAAAACTTCGGTCTGTCTCTGTCCAGACATTTGGTGGCATGGATTTTAAATGTTGATGTACAGACATTTTGTCTAGGGACACACGGTATTTCTAACGTGCAGTTGTGTTTTATCCACCGTTTTTGTTAAATTTAAAAATTATTATAAAACTTTACGAAAGTATTACCGAACTGGTTTTAATGTGATTTCTTTCTTTTGCCTTTAATTTTATTTTTTACCAACATCGTTAGGGACACCGTGTATCTCTAGGGCTCATGTGGGCTTAGAATACCCACATGTGAATTGCAATAAATAAACTAACAACACGTTCACTAATTTCTTTTCAATGTTATTATTTTCAATAATTAAGTTTTCTGTTCCAGGGTGAGAAATCAATAGATTGCTGTATGATCGACTACCAACTATCGAAAAGGGGCAGTCCAGTAGCAGACATTACATGCTTGATCTTCGTCTGCACAGACTTCGATACACGTTCCAAGTACTTTCATGATTGGATGAACTACTACCATTCCGAGTTAGAAAAATACTTGAATCACTACGGTCTTAAGACAGACTCTACGTATCCTAGACACCAACTCGAAAAAGACTTAAAAAGTTATGCAAGATTTTCTCTGGGACAATCAATGGTGATAACATCGCTGTTAATAAGAGAAAGTAAAGACGCAGCCAAGTTTAAAGAAGCAGTGGACAACAATATGCCAATAGAGGAGATCATGCAAACTATCAATGTGAATCTGTTAGACGAAACCACTTTGAAAAAACTTAAAAACAAAGTTGTTGGTTTAATTGATTCGTTTTTTGAGCTTGGATATCTACAAGAATAATCTCTTTGAATTAAACAGTATTGTAAAGTTTATGCTTCAGTTCAGTAATGTAAAGTATATACTTTAATTCAAAGAGATTATTATAAGCATACAGAGGAAAATATGGGTAAAGTGGAATGTAAAAATGATATTGTTTATAATAAAAACCCTTAACGAAAGATTTTATTTGGATAAGGTATATTTGTCTTTTCAAACAAGCCAACATATTGAACTCTTTACAAGGCCCCAAGTCTGCTTTATATCATCTCAGTTGTGTGCCGATAAAGTGTTAATGTTAATGGCAGGATTTAGTGCGTTTGACATTACGCTAAAAGTTAAGAGTAGTAGCTTGTCAATGGTTAGCCATCGAGCTACTATGCAGCTGCCATTGCAATTTCGCGAGTCGATGGTATGATTCAGGTACTTATAAAGACTAAATTGCTGATTAAACGCGATAAAATCAAAATAAGCATAGTGATTCACATGGTAGTTTTAGTAAGGTAATGAAAATAACTTAAAAAAGTTGCATTTTAATAATAAATAATTTTAAGTTGTAACAAGCGTTGCTCTGTTCATACTCAACAATTTCATTTTTTACAACGTGCCTAAATATCAAGTCCTTCCTTGCCTAATCCCACCTTACCTCGTCCCACCTTATGTCTCCAAAAACAAAATAATTCGCCAATAATAATGACAACAATAATAACGCAAACACTTACAGCCCCGCACTAGGGAAACCCTATATCGCGAGTGCTAATCCTATTTAAACCTGAAAGTTGGACTGCCTGTCAAATTCGTACTATGACCTCACAAAAACAATTGTCCTGTCCATGCAGTTTACGTTCCCCATTCGAAATCCGTTCACCTTTTCTTTCATAGCAAAATTGTATCATGACGTGCCATTTGCCATACAAATGGCGGTCTCATCTGTAAAAATAAGCAATTCAACGTCGTGACTAACTTTTTTTAGACTTTGTAACGTTTTTAAGAAATTTCGTATACGTTTTATTATATTGTCAGTTTCATAATTATTTGTTATCTTTAGAGGCTATATAGCCAATTGTCATTAAATAAACACTATTAAATAATGAGCTTTTTTTGAAAATTTTAGTTCGAGTTCCCAATCTTTAAAGTGTTGTTGATAAATTATTGGCATGAATGTTATTGCAATTTTTAAATGGAATTTTAATCATTTTAATAATTTTATTGACCGAAAATCGTAAAATAACTTTTTAAAAGTGTCAAATTTGACTTTAATGCAATCAATGAAAATGTACGAATACAAGATAGGTTCCAATTATGTTATCAAATTACAAACTCTCTTATTCATTTCAATGATAATGACTAGACATGACATGACATGTAATTTTGCCGTGCGACAAATTGTAAAGTATGATTGAAAAGTTGCCGATATTACAAAACAACACAATAAGTGTAATCAATAATAAAAAAAGTATAATTATTCTCATTTTGAACACAATCGATTAATGGTGCTTGAACGCTCCCAAGCTAGTACACCTGTCTATTTCTTTCTTATGATTTAGTATGTAGTTCCACATCGTTCTTGTTAGATAAAATATCAATATACTCTAAGCTCAAATGGCTCAAACACATAACTTTATCCAATATAGGTTGTATTAAAACCTTTTTTAGGTCGTTACATTGTGAGTTGTGAGAGGATTCGTCAATTTTCTTCCTCGCGGATAACAGTTCTTTTACTAATTTATTAATTTAGTTTTAGTTTTTTATTAATTTATTTTAAAAACAGTTACATATTATTTTCATACGATTCTAGTGTTAATCGATAGGTATTTAAATGCTTGTCATCTTTATATATGTTTTGTTTCTAACCTCCTGCCTACTCAGAGACCTTTTTTAGAATATTTTTATGAAACTTTCAGGGATTATTGTTAATATTTTAGAAAGTATGGGAAATAGTCCTTGATTGATTTTTAAATATTTGTATAAAATTGTTCATCTTAACTGGTGCAATGTAATTAATAAAATTTAGAAATGGACTGATATTGCTCGGCTCGAAAAGTTGATTATACCAGCAATGCAAAGAAAAACGTTGAATAAACTTAAGTTAAAAAATAAAAAATTGTACAAATAGTTTACGAAATAAGGATTCAATTTGTGTAATAATAATAACTATTTAATAGAGTAAATTTGTAAACTGTTAAACTCAAAAACTTGTATTTGTATCAAATAGTCATATTTCATAGTTTGTACCATGGCTTGGGCTGGTATATTGTTCATTTACTAATTAGTTTTTAAGTTCTCATGTAAATTGCTGAACCTAATTTTTTATGCTTAAATGGGAGATTTATAGAATTTGACATTATACATAATTAATTTCATGTACTTTGTATTAATTTTATGATTTTCGTGTTATAAAACAGTTTTGAAGAACGAGTATGGTCACACGTGGTTTTATTATGCCGTGGGTACCAAATAATTGTACGAATCAAGTACGTATACATATTTACTTTTTGCCAATAAAGTTGTGACGATGTGACCTCCTTACATTGTCTTCCCACCCTTTTTATCGCCTTTTCTCCGGTTCCTGGCCACTCGTCTTTAAATTTTGTATCGTTCTTTAATAATTTATTTTGCCCGCCACTCTGATTATATGTATTTCGTTCCATCGTCACTACCTGCTCGAACGCGGCAGCGTACAGTACGGTTTAAATTACTATTGCGTCTAATTTTAATTCCTTTACCAGACTTGTAATAGCTACTACTAATCATGAGCCAATTTTGATAACAATTTGTAATAACTTAGGAAGTGAAACAGTGAACTATCACCATCGGACCAGTAAACGGCCCGAAACGTCGGATTGTTTGAAAAAATAAATATACGCGATTTAAATCCGGAAAAATAGTTTCATTTCCTGTGTGTAACAATCGCGAAAACCTAAGAACTCAATTTGTAGTAACTACTGTTAATCATGTGCCAATTTTAATACCAACCTGTAAAACAGTATAACTCGGCCCTTTTGGGGTAAGTGTCTACTTTGTATTCATCCATAAGCATATCCGTATGTAATTAAGTTAGGGAATGTTTTGTAGCATTGTACCTGTTTTATATACCTTTTTTTGTTACAGCCTCTTTTTTCTCTTACCAACAACTTGTAATAAATTTCTGTGGATCTGAAGTTTTCTTATTTTATTGCTGTGAACCTGGTCACGGCTCATTAGGATTGACAACCATTTCACTGGCGCCCGAAGTAACTGTTTTTATGATAGTTAAAATACTATCACCAAAAAGACCCTAAAAAGATTCCTGCCGGATCTAACATGTGGCTTTATTGCATTTATTTGCAATGCATCAGGTGTGTTCGCGGAGGCGCGTACTGATAACTTCAATGCGGTAATACGCAAGAGAACTGCCTTCCTGACGCGGCGTGTGCGTTAGGGCGCGTTCCCATTATGTCGTGACGACAGATAGACGTGCAGTTTAAAGTGTAGTGGCTTGTTCAATGAAGTTGTTCACACATAGAACAACACGATTGACTGTCGTTCCCGACTTTTTTGACGTTACGACGACAGACTGTCGTGACAATGGGAAGAGCAAAAGTCGACAGTCATCAGGCGATAAATAAAACGTCACAATAAAAATGCGACGACAGATAATAGCAACCTCAAACGATTCTATCGTGCAAACGACAAGGCGGCTGCCGTGAACCAATAAATTGTCGTCACGATCTTGTGGGAACAGCTGGACATGGCAGTCGTTCAACGATAAGATAAACGTCCACGACACAGTGACCACAGATAGTCATTATATGGGAACAGGCTAGACGCAACAGTCGTCTAACGATAAATAAACGTTACGATATAATGGGAACGCGCTCTGACTGTTCCAACAGTATCATGTGGTTGTGACCTGTAATACATTTAAGCACTGGAATTGCACACACATGTGTTCCAGAGGATTGTTATACAACATAATTATTTTTTTTTCTCTGATAACCTATTTTACTAACGTGGCCTATAAGCTTTCTGTAACTAACATGATATGATTACGCCAACTTTATTCTTTGATCATTTTCTGTTATTTTTGTAAAAAGTAATATGTATTTACTAATATTATGATCCCAGAATTTTGTGAAAAAAAAAAGATATAAAAAAAAACAAAATTAGAAAAAGAAAAACAAAACAAATAATTTTGAGAAAAAAAATTAACAAGAAACAAAATAAAAACGAACAGGCCCAAGAATTGATTTAGCGTAGGTAGTCTTCATCAGAGGAATCGTACTAATTAGCCACTAACAAAACGTGCATTAACTCATTAACGGATATATTTAACAATAAAGAAACTTTATTTAACAATTAAGAAACAGTACTCAACGATCGCCTGTTTTTAGATATAGAAAATGCGTACAACAATTTAATGATTGAAAGTCTAATCTAAACACTTGATAATTTATTTGTGGGTAAAAAGATATGCCAATATTTCTGGAACTTTCTAATTGAGACGAGACTTAAAGTTAAGGATGAGTTAGGTACAGTCGTACGATATACTTGTAGAGGATTGGCCCAAGGAGACCCCATTTCACCCTTGCTTTTTAATGTAGCGACGCAATTAGGGCAAGTGCTTAATGACGTATTATTCTGTCAATATGCTGACGATTTCGTGTTATATTCGTCAAAAAAGGATATCAATAATAGTAAAGCCAACATTCAGAATGCTATACATAACTTTATTCTAAGAGTATATAAACTTGGTACAGAAATCTCTACTGAAAAAAGTAAATACTGTGTTTTTAGTAGGGACATAATAGGCATCACGTAAGTGTACAGATAAACAATACACCATTAAACCAAGTGGATTGTTACAAATACTTAGGCGTGTGGCTGGATAAATCACTTCGCTGGGGAAAACATGTCAGTGAAACTATGGAAAAAACATTAAAGTTTCTAAATATATTGAAAGTACTGGCAGGACCCAGATGGGGCTTACATCCAAAGCATTTACGCCGCATTTACATTTCCATAATTAGAAGCAGTATAGACTACGGTTATTTCTTATATGATTAATGCAGCTAAAACCCACATAACCAAGTTGGACAGGCTACAAAACCGGGCTATAAGAATTATTGGATGGTTCATGAAAAGCACTCCTTTATACACAATGTAAAGTTTGGCATACAAATATTTTCTCAAAATGTTATTGTGGACCAATAATGTTAATGTAGCTCTACTGTCCGAAACTAATGCTCTTTGTTCCAATCAATACTGGAGAAACAAGAAAAACCCCTTTTGGCAATTGTATATGTAGAAGTCAAAGAAGAACGGGTGAGATCTTCCTCTCCTTCATAAATGTTTAGGCTAAATACATGGATAACTAATATAAATTTAAAGAACATTGTAGTCTTAGACTATAGAAACTTATTTTTTTCCATCCTCTAAGATTGTAGTGCTAGGTTAGAGTCAGTTAAAATAAAAAGAAAGATTTAAATTTAAATTCTGTCAGATTTCACATTCAATTAGAATCACAAAAAAAATTTTTATACCCCACGCGTCATTTATACAGATGGAGCAAAGAGTTCTAATGGAGGAGGTGCAGCGTTCTACGTTCCATTAAACGAAAGAAAGGGCACAATGCAACATTGTAACTGTTTTAAAACCTCACCCGTAATATGCACCATGTCATCAGAGCTCATTGCAATATCAGAAGCTCTGACATACGTAATGAATACCACTATGAATAAAATTGTTATTTGCATTGATAGCAAGAGTGCTCTACAACATCTAGTTCGCTGTGTTCACGGACATCGAGGTACACCAGTTGCATATATGGTCATAGCTAAAATATAAGAACTTGTAGCCCGAAATGTACAACTGAAGTTGCAGTGGGTACCATCGTACACAGGATTAAAGGGGAATGATGAGGCTGACATCCTAGCCAAGCGTGAAATAACAGAAGGGCAAATGATGAATATAACGTTGCTCAGAATTTCTTCCCAGACATATGTAGGTCTAAGTGTGCTCAAATGTGGAGTGAATATTTTAATATCAGATCAAGGAAAATAGGTATCTGGTATCGCACAAGTCAGTGTCAGCCTCCTCGTTTACCTTGGTTTGCAGAGGGCGGCTATGGTAGAAAAATAGTTGTCATCGCACTAAGAATGAGGACACGTTCCATTAAACAGTTTTGCCTTAATGAAAAAAATAAATTCTCCTAATTGCGAGTTATGTGGAGTACCTGAAGATGCGTATCATTTGTTACTGGAATGTGTCCGGTACGAACAATAGAGGGCGACGTTGATAAGAGACCTGCTGATCAACCGAATATCCTTAGGTGCTATAAATTGTATATTCAGCAATCCCCACACGAAACAGGCAAAAAGAGTATTACTATTTGTTGAATCGGCTCTCCAACAGCGCCGCCCAGACATGTAAGCTGTAGTTTAGGGTACGATGGAACTGGCATATACATCGTATAAAAGTTCCTAAATGATTAAAGATAAAAAATGTATATATATTTTACCTAAATATTTCGTAAAATAACTAATATTACGAAATTCAATAAGCATTTTCGAAAAAATACCGTTTACATGGTTCTAAACCTTTACGGTTTTTCATGCGATGGAGGATGGAGGAAATACTCACACTCGTGATGTGTCAAGCACAATCACACCAGAGATAATATGTCAAACAACATGTCAATCGCAACCACTACCTCCAAGCTCAAGACCCGCACGTTGACAGCGAAATATCATGAAAACAAAGCGAATACAGCAAAATGTTGATGTAAACTTGACGTATGATAGACATTTGACTCTGAAATTACACGAACAAAGGGTTTCCTTACGGCCCAAGCCTAGTGGCCGCCATAAAGGAAATACATTCAGTTATTTGAATGAAATCTGACTTTGTGGGAAATAATACAAACTATAATAACAATATTAACGTAAATGTATTAAAGAAGTTAAATATATTTAGGAAGCAGCAGGTACAGATCGATTGGAACTGCAGTAAATTACTTTTATAGAAATAGAAATAGAAATAGAAATTATTTATTCAATGTAAAGCACAGCACACATACAATTTACAAACAAAACAAAAACATAAAAAATAGAAGAAAGAAAGGTAAGGGAGACAGGATGTGTGCTGTGCAGCCACTGAATCCGTCATCCACTCAGCTATTGCTCAGCTATATATTTTATGTAATATCATTGCTGCTGCGTCATACATAAGTATGACGCAGCAGTCATCTAGCTCTATAACAAAGAGTATTTAAGAAAGAATTGCAAAACTTGTGGACGGAGTACATTGCTTGCAGAACATATCTGTTCTGGTGCCGATGGCCGATGGAACCAAAGAGTTCTCGAGTGGCGACCGTATACCGGAAGAAACAACGTAGGTAGACTACCTACAAGATGGGCCGATTACCTGGTGAAGGTTTGCTAGAATCCGCATGATGTTAGTACCGCAAGGCCAATTGTGGCGATCTTTGGATGAGGCATGTATCCAGCGGTGGATGTCCTTCAGCTGACATGATGATTATGATAATTCCGCAGTTTCAATATTCTCCCTTAAATTCCAATCGTCTTCGAACAGTAGGCCAGCTTCGGATGTGACATGGCCTAATTGGCGGGTCTACTACCATCAAATCAGTCTGAGCAGAGCACACGTCAGTGTCACCCTTTATGTACTGGCGGTTAATATGATGTCTCATGTCCATGATTAAAAATAAAGGAGGAATAGTCAGGAATTGGCAATGAAGAAAGATATTGTAAAGTGTTATCTTTGATTGAACATCCAAGACAGACGTAGATGAAAAATGATGGATAAATATATCGAGATTTAGGTCTTGAGAAGGATTAATGCAACGAGATTTGCCAATTCTAAGCGACTTAAGGAATTTACAAATTTTTGAAGGAGTACCATTTTCGACAGAACTGTGGATATGGCGTCGCTGAGCATCCGTTATCATCGTATCGCAGCGATTTCTAATACGGTTTGAATCAGATGGTTCAGTTTTGTATTTAGCTTTAGCACGATTCTTCTTCACCATGTAGTTACGAAGGTTTCAGCCACGGGGCAGGAAGGTGCTTGATACGCACAGGTCGAACCGGTGCATGTACGTCAAAATTGAGTACGTGTAAAATTGAGTGAAAAGCGATGTAAATATCTCAACCTAATTATCCACCGAACTAACCAGTCAACCCCTCTAGCGTCTTTCCGCAATCGATCTAGATCCATGGCCCCAAAATTGCGTTGTAGGAGAACTCGAGGCTTAGCTTAAGGTACACGTACCTTGTATGATAGATATACAAGGTCGTGATACGGAAATTGATATTTGTATTGTTGTCTTACAATGCCAGACATCTACGACGTGAGGATGGCTCTACTCCTTTAACGAGAGGTACTATGGTGGAAAGGAGACGGTGGCACCAGTTCGAAAATTTCCTCTGCATACTACCCATTATAATTTTTTTCCTTCAATTGAGCAGCCTACTCCGACTCTACTGAGCTCATCTAACAGTACATTTGCATTTAAGTTGAAGAACCGTGGAGCAGTAAGTGTGCTCTGTCTCACTCCGCACTCCAACATGTACTCGTTTGAGTAAGAACCAGCCCATCGAACTTTGTGGGTTTGGTGCTAATACCAAAATTTTGTTAAATTGGTAAACTCCCTGGGTGTGCTGGTTTCCCTCAAGAGTTTATCCCACAAAACGTTGTATCACACAAGGTCGAAAGCCTTCGACAAGTCCAAAAAAGAAGAGTATACAGGTGTCCCCCAAGCAGCGTAGTATTTACTGAACGGTATGCTTGAGTCGGTGAATTGCTGTTTCAACAAGAGACTCCAAAATTATTTATTAGTGTTAACCCCTTTATGGACAGTATTTAAACAGTACCGCACACAAAACTGTGAGTACTTTACTTGCCATAGTGGTTATATATTGATTCAATATAAAATGTTCAATGTAAATCATTTAATTTTGTTAGTACGTTATGTACTTCTTTATGGAAAAGCAATAAGCGGCAACCACGCATAGTTCTCTTGGAAAACGCACTGTAAAGCCCATAGTTGTTTTTTTGATCCAGATAGCGAGACGGGGCACCTCCTATTATTATATTTTGATATTTAATTTTATGGTAAACGCAATTATGGTTTACTAACAGGTTAACTGACCAAAAAAAAACTCATGCAATTGTAAAATAAATTTGTTTCAAGATTAAGTAATTGAATTTATATCGTCTAATTATAATGGACTGATGTGTTTGTTTTACGGAGTAATGATAAACATATTCGAAATCTTTCAAAACAGACTTTTCTAGAACAATTTGTACGTGACTTAATATTCATAAGTCTTCCTTAACGAACCGGAGTTCCAAAAATAGTTAAACGAATATAATAAAAGGCACTCTGTATAAATAAATGAATATATGTAGTAGGTAAAAGCGAGCATGCTCCTCGAGATATACCTTTATTAATAACCCAGATTTGATAATGTAATTCCTTATGTCTACACTACTAAAGTCGTCCATGTCTGGGTGTACCATACGTCATGGTGGGCTGAACACATGATAAACAAGCGCATGTTTAGACACTGTGGAAACTTTTCTAATTTAAGCATGTCATCTAACTTTCCAAATGCAGCCCATCCCACCTGGATTCTTTTTGAGGTCTCCTCAGGCTGATGCTCTTTGCCAAAGAATACAACATCTCCGAGAGAGACGTACTGATCGACTCTCCAGCCTCTCATTCCCCAAGCTTTGTTATCCATAATTGTACTTTATTAAATCAATTTCTGACCTTTTTCTGGCCTTGAAGGGGGAATTGTATAATCTCCAGCATTAGCAACAGGAGAATCTGGCAATAGATTGATACCAATCTATAGTACCTAGAATCTTTAAATTAACAATCAAGATATTTTGCCACGATCTGTGCCTTGCCTATCAATGTTAATTATGTCATTGAACAGGACTCTTTTAACGCTATGAGCAAAGGATGTTTATTGTATTCGAAATGAGATCAATAATCAAAATAAACGCCTCGACACGGATCATTATGTCACAGCGTCAGTTCGTGTTTTGCTTCGTACATATTTACTTGTCTATTTGTTGTTAGACGCAATAACTTCTAAAACTAATAAAGATGTGCCATATAATCATAGGATGAGTGTGTAGATTAGATCTAATTAATGAAATATCAATTGTTTTCACAGATTTCACAAATTTATTAAATCAAATTTCAAACTGCTATCGAAACAGATGGAAAACCGATCTATGCTTTGTGGAAACAGTTTTGTATAAATAGTTTACGTTGACCAATTTATCACTTAAAATTGTGCTGCAGATTATCGACGCGAGTGAGCTGTTTATTGAATAGAGTTATATTAATAAGGACGTACTGTGATTTAGTTTGGTTTTATATGGATTACCAAAGAAACATTACCAAACAGAAAATAGTGCAAGGTTAAGCAAACAATTTTGGTAAAATATTTTAAGAATTCATGATCGGTACTTTAAAAAGAAAGAAATTTATAACTAGATATCCTAACTTGTGATCGTATCATAATCGTAGAAAAGATTGAGACCTGTCTTCGCCAAAATGGTTGAATTAACTTTTGAAGGTGAAGTGAGTGCGCTTTGCGAAAAACAACAAGATTTTATTAAGAATGTTTTAAAAGAACTCGGTATTATTGGTGGGAAAGTTAAAATAGAAGCTGTTGGAAAACCGGGTGACAACTATATTGCTGACGTGAAAAGAATTATCGTCGAGAAAAATGGCGAATTGCTAAAAATGATTGCAAAAATAGCTCCCAACCAGGAAGAAGTTCGACAATCCATGAATACAGCAGTATGTTTTTCAAATGAAAATATCATGTACTCTGAAGTACTACCAAAATTTACTCAATTGGAAAAGGATGCTAACATTCCAATCGAAGAAAGACTCAAATACGCTAAATTTTACGGAAGCTTTATGGAAGAACCCCTTGAAATCATTCTTATTGAAGATTTATCAGAATCAGATTTCGTAATGCTTAACAGATTTAATTCGCTAAAAGATGACAGTATTAAACTTGTCCTTAAAAACTTTGCAAAATTGCATGCTGCATCGTACGCGTTAAAGAATTTGGAACCAGAAACGTTTGAATGCTTTTCTAATAAGCTACTTAATTTGTGGGAGCTAGTTGGTAATACCCCCGAAAGGGATCAATTTGTAAAAGAACTGGTTACAGATGTAATAAATTTAATGGATGAAGAGAAATATTATAAAATAGTTGATCAAATAATGAACAATGTTATGGAAGAATCAGGATCTGTGTCAAAAGCTGATAGAGGCAACAGTTTTTATGTAATCCAACAAGGCGATCCCTGGACAAACAATATTTTATTCAAATTGGAAGTGAGTACATCCTTTTCAATAGCGTATCCTCAGATTCGCGACGTACGAGTACCCAGGAAGTCATTTGTTATGATTACCTAATCTACAATTCAGGCATGGTAACGATTGGGGCGACCTAACGCGCGTGAAATTGTCGTTCAAAATCGTAGTATCGTGTTCATCAACTTGAACAAATTTATAATAAACAAATAGAAATTTATAATAACTTTTATACATATTACTTATACTACGTAATAGTTGAATATTCGCCAAGCTTTATTGAAATATAATTTTGATTACTTTTTGTATTATAATAATGTAAATATAGAAATTCATGCTACTTTAAACCATTTTTATTCTGGCACACATAACAAAAAAATAATAATTTACAGAAATTAGAAAAAAATATATACAATTCACAGAAATAAGTATAATTAAAAAAAAAATAAAAATAAAAAGAATAAAGCACGTGTGTGATGGGCACGAGCTCAGAAAAATATTGAAATCAGGTTGCAATGACTTCAACCCTGATTTTCAGCCCGACCCGGCCATGGCAGCTACTTATGAGCAATTGCTTCAAACCATCTCTTAGTCCTAATTATTAATACCTTACATTCCATTCGCGTTTAAATGTGTCTGTTACTGTAAAAACTCGTACATTGGTTAATCTTAGGTTTTACCAATAAATCTTAGGATTTACCAACATGAGTTGGTAAGTGTAAGAATATATAAAGGAGCGGCGAGTTTTTCGGGCTTTTATCATACAATTAGGTACAGGCTAGGTATTACCATTGATTTTGGGAATAAAACAATGAGTACTTTTGAATCATTTAATTCAATTAACAATCAATCAAAACCTTACAAATTCTCAAATTCGTATCGTATGAGAGTAATTATATAGTATTATTAATTATCATTATCGTTCGGGCTTTTATAGTAACATATCCACAATTTGTATGTTTTACTCGTATTTTACGACTTCTTTCGTAAGTGTTTAATTAGCTACAAGGGCGCATGTGACAAAAACTCAAAACCGAGAATACAACGTACCTATATAAAGAAATTAAATTGAAAAATATCTACTTTTCTTAAAAATAAAAAATAGTAACAGATCCATTTTTTACTGATATATATAATAGTTTTGAAAAAATGTCACATGCGCCTTTTTAACTAACGGCGGCAGTACCTGTATTTACATACAACTGGCTTGTTTTGTAATATCCTATTGTTGCTTAGCAAATATCACCGCTCTGGTTCAAAATTTATGGTTTTTTTTCTTGTGAAGTTTACTTTTTTTTTCTTGTGAAAATAAAACGTGAATATCAATTAAAATGATACAATCAATCATACAATTACTAGTTATTCTTAAATATAACACCTTTGCAATATTTATCATACAATATTGTATATATTTTTAACGCTATGTGCGTTGTGCTCAAAGCCCCGCAGTAGATATTGACAACCACAAATTACACCCAAACTCACGAGATAAATAAATGTAGGCTATACAAATGTTTCCCTCGGCTCGAGAATCGAACCCGGTACCTCTGGCAGACCAGGATGGTAACCGTTCGGCCACTGAGGCAATTGAATAACATGATGGCTTACTACCATGGTATTTGTATACTTTTTGTGGAAATACTTCACAAGTTTATTATTATTAATGTAACAAACAGCACAAAGAAAAATTTCTTCGATCTGACTGGATTCAAACCAGAGTCTGTCGCTTTTTCCAACTAAGTTACAGACACAGAAGCAGATCTTACGAATTTATCTATGTGCTTGTTGCAGATCTAAGTAACTATTTCTGCTAAGCGGTATGTGAGCATTACTGCGTTCCGGTTTTGATGGGTGCTGGTGAAATTACAGGCACATGAGACCTGTGAACTTATGTCTCAGGGTGACGGACGCAGTGGCAGTGCTCCTTAGATCTTTGCGATTTGAATTTCTGAGCGGCACTGCAACTGTTATGGACAGGCGTGTCGCTTACAACCAGGCACACGATTTGTTTGTCTCGTCACTTTATATCATCAAAAAAAAGAAAAAAGAAAGATCATCGTATTAGATTGCAACAGACTTTTTCCGTCAGCGTCTCTTATGAGAAACTTATGACAGTTTCTTCAATAATACCTAATACTAACAATAGCTTCAAAAAATGTTAATAGCTAAACGCTATATTCTTTTTAAAAAAATGTGTAACAATGGCTCCTGTCTGTGCAAAAATCGCGTAGCAATTGTTCCGTGGTTAAATCACCTAGCAACACTAAATAAATAAAATTTAGAATGTTTCCCTTAAAATTTTTCAATTTGTATACCTTTTTACATGTGTAAGTCTGTGTTGCTGCATGCTGTCTAGCTTTTATATAATTACTTGGTGTGTAGTATACTCTCCGTTAGCCGGTTTGATGCAACAAACGAATAGCTATTAGTGAAGACTGAAAATCAGCAATGCTGAGTATTCGTCTTTTTTGTCCGCATTATTGTTTTTTGTTTTTCATTGTCCGCTTACATTATGGTTTATGTATTTCGTAGATAAATAAATGTCTTTTTGTTTAATTCTATTTTTGTAGACAATAATATGTACTCCTTTGAAATTAAATCAAAATGACTTGAGCGGTGTTGCCATCGAGTATATAACCGGAATTGAGACGAAATGTCATTTAATTTGTTTGAAAACTATTCCGCCAAATCATTACTGTGACAACTGCGCTTCGATTGGCCAGCCCAGATACGAAACAATTGACGGGAGTCGTCAATTGTTTCACTTCAAATCGATCAGTTTGACTTGAGCAATGCTATAATAGACTAAATTCGAAATAAATAAAATCGGTACATGAAATGTGATTCCGTTTGGTTTGTAATTAGATGTTTTGCTGATTTCCCACGCTAACTTTTGAATGGAACAGCGTGCCATTGTCAGAGATATTATCTTTATTACAATAAATACAGAGTATTTTTGGAATACACCGAGACGTACACACGGTCAGTTGTTGGCGCAGTACTATTTCAGTTTTGTAATTTGTGATTTCAGCGCAAATGAGAGGTGATATTTAAAAGTGATATAAGATCCATTTAACTGATGAATTGTCAAGGATGGATGACCCTTATTTCGTCCTATTTCTGGTTATATATGATGGGTGTTGCTTACTAAGCGTCGGTGTGTAAGTAGACGCCGTACCTACCGTAGCAGAATAATCTAGCTAGTATCAAATTGACAATACTTTCATAGATTTCGTATTATTGCCAATTAACTAAGTCTTCTTCTCCAGCATGACAAATCAATAGATTGCTGTATGATCGACTACCAAATATCGAAAGAGAGCAGTCCAGTAGCAGACATTATGTACTTGATCTTCAACTGCACAAACTTCGACACATGTTCCAAGCACTTTCATGATTGGATAAACTATTACCATTCCGAGCTAGAAATATATTTGAATCACTACGGTCTGAAGATAGACTCTACGTACTCAAGCGATCAACTCGAAAAGGACCTTAGAAGATACGCAAATTTTGCTCTGGGACAGTCAATAATGATGGCGTCGTTTTTAATCCGAGAAAGTAAAGACGCAGGCACGTTCAACACAAAGGATGACAATAAATCAATGGAGGAAAAAATTGAAATCTTATAGATTGACTTTGTTGGACGAGACAACTTTGCAAAGGCTTAAAGACAAAGTTATTGGTCTAGTTGATACTTTTTTAAACCTTGGGTATATAAAATAACAAATTCTTTGAATTAAACAATATTGTAAATTGTAAGCATATAATGGAAATAATATAGCTAACGTGGTATATACACAAATCAGAAGTGTCTAGGAATCGAGGCATGTTTTTGTATATAACGATGGCGTATTTAAATAAATAAATAAATTAAAAATAAGTATTTTTATTTTTAGAATCGAAAACTGAAATACAAAGTTTTTCCATTCAATATTTGATTACTGGCAAAAATATCGCAAAATTAGGATTTACGTAGTCTAAAAACATTTAAGAGGGGTGATTCGTGTTATAGAGAAAACACTGATTACACTCGAGATTATGTCTAACTAATTCTTAGAGGATGGAAAAAAAATCAAATTACGTGGCGGGTTGGATTGACAAATTCAAAACCGAGTACGAGAAACGAAATATCCTTAGGCTCAACTCACATTGGCGCACAGTCGAAGCGTCGCGACGCGTCATATTTTTCGCCTATAGTATATTCATCTCTATTCTCCCATTATTAAGGTACAAATTTGTATTATGCAAATATTGGAAACGGGCGTCGACGCTTGGATGTAGTCTAGAGGCTTCGCGCGCCACTTGAGCGCAGTGAGTGAGTCTGACGCCGACCAAACTGTGATCCGGACGCACTAATGCGGGCATTGTCGCACGACGAACCGCGCCACCAGGCGTTGTAATTGAAAAACAGGACGCGACGCGACGCTTCGACTCTGCGCCAGTGTGAGTTGAGCCTTAGAGGATGGAAAAAATAAAGGAAGAAATAGTTTGAAAACAAAGAGAAAATGACGCTGATGTAAAGTTGACATTTGACAGATATTATTTTGACTTCTTACATTTAATAAATAATAATAACGCACACACTCTACATAGCCCTACACTAGGAAAACCCTGAATCGCGGTTCCCACGGACATACACATAGAAAACCACAAATTACACCCAAACACACGAGAGAAATAAATGTAGGCCATACAAATAGTTCTCCCGGCCCGGAAATCGAACCTGGGACCTCTGCGTGGCAGTCCGTCATGGTAATCGTTCTGCCACGGAAGCAGTTATTTCTATTAGGCTCCATGTCTCTTGATTTATTTTAAATAAGTGTGCAAAATATTATGTTTCAAACACAATCGATTAAAGAGGAATATAACATCTACAAGATTATACACTCAGACCTAAAATTGTATCAGTGCCTATAGAGCACACGTGGAGTGTAATTCATTCGAATCATAAGGGCCTCATATGTCACTTGCTAACAGTATGAATAGGTTGACGACCTTGAATCATCGCGTGTAGCTGACTTCCTCCGGAGTTGCTTTATCATTTAGTTTAAACTGTTTATCACTTATTGCGTCGAACATACAGTCGAATTGAGCCTTTTTTGAAGTCGGTTATGAAATCAGATCTGCAACAAGCACATAACTAATTCATAAGGTCTATCTAGGTACCACTCACTTCACTTGTCATTAAAATTTGGTATCGTAAAAAAAATCCTAGGCAATAGACCCATATCAATCAATCCTATTTGGTTCAACAGGAAACCGAAACCAAGACATATTAAAGTACCTAAAGTGCTAATCTGATGAGTAGTCAAGGCTATCCTAACACGGCTCTTCCGCATGGCAGCTATATTTACGCTCATGATAGCCTTATTATGTTTCAACCTTATACTAATGACACCGCAATCTGAACAACTGAATACTTACATACAATGACAGTGTTCAGTTTAACCGATTTCAATGAAACTTGTTTTGTTGAAATTGGTTACCGGAAAGTGCGCGAAACAAGATTCATATGGTTGGCAAAGTAGGGGACTTTGCCAACCTTAGAGATGGAACATTTTCTTCTAATTTAAATGGGACCAATACTGAGGTACCCTGTTGCCAACAAAAAAATGATCATCAAAACCATTTCACAAATTAGAATTACCGCGTAACATACATTACAAAATACAATACAATTCAGAACCTCCTCCTTTTTTGAAATCAGTTAAAAAAGCCAGTATTTCCTCTAATGAAAACTTTCAAACATATATAAGATCGCCGTATTGCTTATTAATATATTTTGTTTCATTTCTAATAAATTAAAGTAATTTAATTCGTATAAATTAATTCAATAAATTCAAATAATAATAGGGGTTAAAGTATGAAATTGCCGATTTGTACTGAAAATCTAAATTGTTTATTTTTTAAATTTTTAACAAATTTATTTAATCAAAATAGTTGCCATTATTATCTATACATTGCTGCCATCTAATGGGAAGGTTATTAATGCCTTTGCGATAGAACTCCGACGATCTAGACTGCACAAACTGTGTGAAAGCATTTTGTACTGCCTCCTGGGAAGAAAACTTCTTGTCACGTAGATAATTGTCCAAATCACGAAAAAAATGGTAGTCCGTTGGAGCAAGGTCTGGTGAATACGGAGGATGACGAATGGTTTCTAACTGCAGTTCCTGAAGGGTCAAAATGGTTTCTCGTGCTGTGTGAGGTCTCGCGTTGTCGTGGAGCAATAATGGTGAAGATCGATTCATGAGTCGGGGCTGTTTTACTGCTAGTTTTGTCAACATGGTTCGGAGTTCGGCACAATAGACATCTGCCGTTATTGCTTGACCAGATCGGAGAAAACTATAGTGAATAACACCATGCTGAGACCACCAAACAGTTACCATTACCTTTTTATTGGTAAGTTTTGCTTTAGGACACTGTTGTGGCATTTGACCTGGGGTCAGCCATTGCATTTTTCTTTTCCGGTTATCATAAAGAATCCACTTTTCATCACATGTTACAATTCGATCCAATATTCCTTCATTTCTGTACCGGTTCAACAAGGCAACACAAGTTTCAACACGCGTTTCTTTCTGCAGATCAGTCAAATCATGAGGCACCCATTTTTCGTATTTTTTTATTTTATTGATTTGACGCAAGTGAGTCAATATTGTGGGTAAGGTAACGTTAAACCATGCCGCTAATTCCTGGGTAGTTTGACTAGGATCGGCTTCCACTATCTCTATTAATTCATCGTTATTCACCTGTGTGGGCGGTCTTCCTCGTGGCTCGTTCTTTAAGTCGAAATTTCCATCACGAAAGCGTTTAAACCAAAATCGCACGGTGCGTTCATTAGTAGACCCCTCTCCAAACGCAGCATTGATATTGCGGGCTGTTTCTGCCGCGTTAGTTCCGCGTCGGAACTAATATTCAAAAATCACTCGAATTTTCGCAGTATCCATCTTTCTTGTCTAAATTGAATAACAAAAACAATTGAAAGTCGATATTCAAATGTTTCAAATTTAAAAAAAAAACACAGAAACCATTTGAAAAAAGTTTCATTCGAAAACCTCAAACCATGAAGATTCTATGAAAATTGAAAGAACCTATTGCAATAAAACGGCAATTTCATACTTTAACCCCTAATACATTCAATTGAGTAAAGATTCATATTATAAAAATACAATGTTTTCCGAAATGTGTAGCACAAATTGGTTTTTTTTTTTGATGACGAGGTTTTTAGTAATTTTTGTAATTATATGGTTTACTTTAACATCAGATATAACTGGTTATTGACCATCATCCAGTCTTCCGTGACCTTTAAAGATCCCGAAACGTTGGTTTTGTCGGAAAAAAGCAAATTTACGCGATTTAAATCCGAAAAAATAGTTTCTTATCCTAGGTGTAAATGTTGTCATGTTTTTTAATAGGCGCGAAAATGCGTTTAATATTATTTCCACTTACATCATAGATACTGTCAACTATGTATGATGCCTTTGCACTGCCAATGACTCAGCTTACCGAATACAACAATGCTAAGCAACAAGCAATTTATTTCATCAAAAATTCATACCTATACATATACTACACAATTAAGGTAATATTATATTAAAATTGGTATCTTATCTGCTTCATGGGTAAAAAATCTTAATGACACAAACGTGATCGCATATATGTATGTTGTATGATTATAGATATAAATTTATAAATGGATATAATTATAGATTAAATCGTGTATATTTGTTATTTCAAACAAAACTAAAGTTTTGGGCCGGTTGTGTAATGTACAATATAAATATTATTCATATACCGCTCAATTGACATAATTTTACTTCCTATAAACCCGTTTTTATATTGTAACTCATTTCATATAACGAACATTTAATATACTTATAATAATACATAATTACATTATTATGTATAAAAATATATAATGACATCCATATCATATTTTCTTCTCATATCATACTTCATTAATTAATTTAATACATAATTTAATTTTTTATAACGGTCACTTACACTAACACTCATTTTTAATAACAATTATAAGTTATAAGCCACAATTAACACAACGTAATTTTAGCTATATTTCATTTCATCTAGAAATAGGATTATTTTCGAAAAACGATATCCATTAATTAAAATTAGGCCTGAAAACGTGTTCGGAAACACAAACAAATTCATTTCTGCTTTTTTATGTTGTAATCTAACCTAATGAATGGAAGTCGCAACCAAGAGTTGACATATGTAAAATAAGTTTGTTTTTCTTAACTCACTAAGAAATCCAGTGTCTAACAATAATAATTTTATCGAACTGAAGCATTGTAAACTGTATTAACACGTTCCCTGTGCATGCATCATATGTGATGCATTTCGAGGTCCAAACGACACGTGAGTGCACCACATATGAGACACGACCCTTTGTAAATTTAAAAGTTTTTCAAAATTTGCACGTGTAAGCTAGATCATCTTTATTTGCTTGCACGTATGGACCACAAAAATTGTGACAATAAGCAAGTGGTACCGGATGACTTTTTAACCAATGTTGCCAGATTATTACTATCAAAATAAATCACGAAAAATATTTATTATTTTTTTATTACAAGTTAGAAAGGTCTAATTATTGACTTGCGTATACGGCACA